TTCTTCTGTGACTCTGCCTTTCAAATAAAAATAAATGCTTAATAAAATTGCGGAGTAAGGGTTGATGGCTAGGGAAAACACTCCAGAAAACAATCACGGAGCAGTCCCTCAAGACTTTCTTTCTAGATTACAGTGCACACGTTGGCACAGAGGACAATACTGGGTGAGAAAGCAAAGATATGCACAATTCTAACTTAGCTCTAAATATGAAAAAAGTTTAGGAACATGATAACCAATTTATTTGACTCACATTTTCTTCTTTTTTCTTTGTTGGCAAAAGTTACATATGACAAAGCAATCTTTGCCCAAATACAACCAGAAGATCTCTTAAAGTACAAAATATAGTTTCCATAATGAGAGAGAAGCTTGGGACATTGCTTCATTCTCAGTGGTTATGTAAAGTTTCCTGTGGCATCCATAATGAAAAATTAGCAGCTGAGTGTCTGAGTACAAGATAAAAGGTTTTTTTCTGATCATTTTGGAGTTCAGAAGCCTGAAACCAAAGTGTTAGCCTGCTGGTGCTCCCTTGATGTTTCTAGCTGTTTGCTTCTCCCAGGTTCTGGTAGACGCAGGCACTTCTAGACTTCTAAAGCATAACTGCAGTCTCTGCTTCTTGCATCAACTCATGGAATTCTTTGATGTTTCTCTGTCTACTTGTTATAATACCAGCCATGTCTTAGCGTGACATCACCTTGACTAACTACCTCTGCAATGACCCTATTTCCATACAGAGTCACATTTTGAGGTCCTGGAGTTTACACCTCACTATATCATTCAGGACAGCATTCAACACATAGTAATGGTAAATAAAATAGTTATTAATAGTACAGAAAATAACATTACATGATCAAAAGCATCAGAGATTAATGAACTCCAGTATTTTCAGTAACATGCAAGCTTTGTTTCACTTTTCCTGCACTCACTTCAAGACAGGATGGTCCTCACTCTCTTTAGACGCACGTTTCCCTTTTAATCCCTTCTCTCCTTGCCTTCCCCTACCCTAAACACTCACTGTTTATCAACAGCTACTTAATTATCAGCCTGACAGGGAAATAAGCATGGCCCTCTTCCTTAGAGAGGTACAACCATAACTAAACTGTCCCAGATACTGGATGAGGGGGACCACATTACGTGTCCTTGGGGAGAAGACTGTAGCTTAGTAGAACATTCACAGCATCTAGAATTGGTCAGCCCAGGTGCATCAGCCACATTTTTAAGCTTTGGACAATGATTTCTGAAACTGCATTTCCTTGACTAGAAGGAAACCCAAGCAAGCCTCACTTCTGTTGAGAAGATGAAATGTAGTGGAAGTACCTTACTAACTGTAGAGTTGTGACCAAGTGTGGTTTCTGCTCCACCCTGGTAGGATCCATAGATGGCCTGTGATAAATGCACAGAAACCATGTCAACTGAGAAAGCCTCAGATGAGGAGAGGAAGTAGAAGGAGCAAAGGAGCATGGGTCAGGTGAATTGCTTAGGTAACATATTTGCCCTTATGCCAACTTAAGTTTAAAAGCTGAACAAGAATGGTAGAATATCCATCTATTTATCTTAAGAAGAAAAAGAAAAAAGAAATACTACCCAGTAATAAACATGCCTCCATTCTTCTACTACTTCCACTTATTTTTTATTTGTTCAAATGTTTACGTGAATGGTCCAATTGGAGAAAGCATCTGAAACCTAAATATTGAAGTTTATGGTACATTATTTTTGAAAAGGGGAAAGAATCTATGATTAACTTGTATGTGTGTCACTGGTGTCATGTCTAAATGGCAATAAAAGGCATCATATGTGAAAAGTTAGAATTAAGAGGAGGAGAAAAAGAGAGTAAGTCAGTGACCTTTCCGTTATAATGTGAAGAATATAGTTCAAACACTAGAAAATATTTCTCTGACATTAAGGACTTTGTCACACAAAGACACACACACACACACACACACACATTTCTGAAATATTCCCCAAAAGTCTTTTAAAATAGCTTATAACTTTGTCTCTTGGTCATGGTAATTTCATTTGTAAGAGGACATGATCTAAATGACCAGTAACAGAAAAATGGTTTCACAAAACATGGCATCCTGTCTCTACAAACCCACAGGAATTAAAATATGATGGTTGTGCAGCAGCAGCATGTTAAAATTATCATGGTGGCTCACTCAATAAGGAAGGAGTACATAAGAATCCAAAAAAATAAAAACAATTGAAAGGGTTTCATGTTATCATTGTGCGGGGCAGAGGGGATAAAGTGTCCTCCGGTTATCTGTGTGTGGCAAGTGGAAATAGAACATTTCCAAGGCATGCCTGTCTCAGCAAGTGGAACTGCAGTAGTTCCTGAGGACAGGAGGATGGACTAAGGCCTCCTCTCAGAATGCCTCCTCTCCTCCTAGGATTCCTAGGCCCCTATGTTACAAGGAGGGGTGGTGTCCAGGGAGTGCAATGTTCCAAGCATCACTGGTTCCCATGAAAACCTAATTTATAGAATTAAAAATTAATTTTATGGAAATGAATTGAGACAGTCTTCATTAGAGTGCACTCAGTCTAATTGAGTTTGGAGTGATTGGAATAGCTATTCCTGCAGTAATACTAAAAAGATAAATCTTTTTCTTCTTGTACTGCTGGGAAACAACATATAGGGGTAGGTGAGAGCTTTCCAATTGCCACATGGTAGTTGCTCCTGCTTCCTGGAGGGCCCAGCATGGAAGGAAGTCATCTCAAGAAGTCATTCATGACAAGGAATCCAGTATAATTTGACATCCTCACTGGAAGCCAATCAAAGTTTCCCATTAGTGAGTAGAGCAAATTAAGGATTCATTGTGAGAACAAAATGGGAAGATGCAGTGATCTAATTCAGGCTCTCTTTTCAAGCTAAAGTGGCACCCTAGTTTAAATATTATTTCCACAATGAAAGAAGGATTATCATGACTGTCTCCCCAGCTTCAGAACTATACATTTACTCATACATTTTAAATGTTACCCATTAATGAATACACAGACACACATTGAAATATCTTCTGGTAGCCATGAGATACAAGACAGACCCCGGATTTCAGGATGAATAACTGGCCAAGGACTCCCACTATTGTGCTCTGAAATCTATGATTTTATGGCAATAAGGCCACATTGCCCATGCCTGCTCCCAGCTGGTGATTGACAAGGCAGGGGTGCTGAGGCAGGTCCATCCCTGGCAGACACAAAATCTAATAGCCATGTTGTGATCCTTTACAGCCTTGTAAGACCTTCCTTAGACCACCGGGCATTTAGAGAACATATCCTTGTTCTCCCTCTCCTTAACCTGAGGGGACACTTGCAACACAACTTTTCTTTCTCAATAAAATTCTGGCGCGTTTAATTCCATCTTGGCATCTGCTTCTTAAGGGATATCGCTATAGAGATATTTACACGTATGTATGTAGAGGATACTTCAAAAAGCTTACAAGAAATACGAGAAAAATATTTATTTCAGTGCCAAAAAAAACTGAAGCCAATATATAGTGCAAAAAAAATTGCTGAAGTCCATATATAGCTTTCCTAATAGTTTTTCTATGAACTTTTTAAGGATACTTTGTATGCATGGATTTCAAAACTTTTTGCATCAAAACAAACATTTTGTTAGTTCTGTTTTTCCAAGACTTTTCTGAAGTGCCCCTTTATGTGTGTGTTATGTGTGTATTTTAACCATAATTTGTCTCCAGTTTGCAGATGCGAGATAAGTCCAGATTTTTGTCATTACAAAAATATCCATCCATATTCTGTTAACCCAGCTAGTTTCCAATTTCATTAGTTGTAATTTTTAAAACAGTGTCACAGAAAATGCCCCTTCTTGAAATCCCTCCAAAGAGCTTATGGAGCAATGCTACACTAACACTTCTTTTCCACATATAGTTTCTGGTAGCATTAGGAATTTTCTGAAAAAACAGCCTCAAGCCTTGGAACAAAGTAAGGAATGAGTCTCCCACAATTCTGCCATAGTCCAGGCAGCAGATAAGAAAAAAAATCTGGAGTCAGAGCCGCAGTTCGTTTGTTCTTCCATTCTTACAATCACTCTTAGACTCTGCCAACCTCCTCTCATCCCGTGCATGTCAATCAGAGTTCTTGATTGCAAGTAGCAGGAATTGATTGTGGGTCACTTCCGTAAAAGGGAAGTTGTTGGACAGGTGTCAGCGTTCATAATCGATGGGAGGCTGAAGTTCAGTCTTTGGGGATATCCATAGTGAGGACAGAGAAAACACAGCAAAGATGTTTTCCCAGGACAGTTGGCAGGTGAGCCTCTTAGGTAAATAGACTCCAAGGGTTCCTATTCCCTCACATCAGATTCAAATCCTGGGACACAGACAGCACGGAACCTCAGAGTCTTTACAATTCCTTAGTGTTAATTCCATCCGATAACTCAGGGTTCTGTTTTATCATCTAGAAAGGAAATGTGGCCAGTGCAGAGACAACAGTGCCATCCATCAACGTCTCTTCAAAGGTCTCTCATGTACCTTCTAGAGATGAACTACGGGACCTCCAGGCAGATGTTAGGGTCCATTTGTTAATTGATTTTCATTGTAATAGCACAGTTCTGTCAACATATATAAAGGCAGGGATGTCCAAACAAGCAAAAAGCAGTAAGCAACAGTTTTTCTTCTCTCCTTCCTTGAAGTATATATGTCCATCTCTTCCTTGATACACAGACATGTGCCATTGCTTTATTTATGACCCCTAACACTTTGCCTTCTTTGAGAGGCAAAGTGGTATTTTTCTCCATCTAGTCCTTGTTTTTCTCCCTCTAGTTCTTATTTTAAGGAAACTCATTTTAAGCCATCACTGAAATTTAATTGCTCAGTGCAGCCATCAGTAATATCTCTGGAAAGGAATCACGGAAGCAAGAGATTACATGATATGAACTTGTTTTTGCAGAGGGAAAAGAAAGCCATGTTACATATAAATAAAATGCGAATGCATGGAACTAAATCCCAGGAGAGATTTGGCACTTAGGTAACACCTCAGGATTGTCCTTCCAGGTAAAGACCGCCTTGCAACAGGAAGGATTTGACCGGAAAAAGCGAGGGTACAGAGACATCAATGAGATCGACATCAACATGAATGATCCTCTTTTTACAAAGCAGTGGTATCTGGTAAGTCTCTACTTGAAACATTTCTCATCTTGAAACTTTAGATGAGAGCTATATTTCTGTGTTCACATTATTCAATGGGATGTTAGCGAGCATCTGACTCAATGTCCCTTGCAATATGTATTGATTTTCTATCAACACTGGGCAATTAGGGGCATCTTGTCCCCTAATCTTCTTTCTTCTAAAACTGCTAAAAAGCCATGAACTCCTTGGTCAGAGCTACTAGCAATACCTGATCATCCCCTCATAGCCTTGGCAAGAGCGCCTTGGTTTCTAAGTGAAGACTTTAAAATTGTGTGGAAGTCAAATCAAAGGTCTGGGAGTAGTATAGCCCAGGATTCCAACAATCTGAATAATGGTGGACAAAATAAAGTCACAACTATACAAAAAAAAAAAAGTCAACTTCACCAGGAACAAGCCAGGAAGCTCAGGGACCAAATTAGCAAAAGTAGCTTCTTAAAGTGATAGCACGAAATCAGTCCCAGGTCCGGCGCAGTAGCCTAGTAGCTAAAGTCCTCACCTTGCACCAGCAGGGGATCCCACATGGGCACTAGTTCTAATCCTTGAGGCCCCGCTTCCCATCCAGCTCCATGCTTGTGGCCCGGGAAAGCAGTTGAGGATGGGCCCAAGGCCTTAGGATCCTGCACCCACGTGGGAAACCTGGGGGAAGCTCCTGGCTCCTGGCTTCAAATCAGCTAAGCTCTGGCCGTTGCAGCTGCTTGGGGAATGAATCATTGGACAGAAGATCTTCCTTTCTGTCTCTCCTCCTCTCTTTATATCTGACTTACCAATAATAATTTTAAAAATCTTAAAAAAGAAAAAGAAATCACTCCCATTGCTGCAGGATTTGGGACAGCCCAGTGTATCTGCTAAAGTGGGCATATCCACCAACATTGTACCATGATTCATGTGAATTCGTTGGGTTAAGGTTAAAAACAATCAATGACTCCAAAACAACCCCAACCACAGACCATACTGCTGGAAAATGAAAGCTAATTTGTAAAAATGAACGAAGCTTTATTTTAGCTAAGATGAAAACCACAGAGAGATGAAACTGAATTGTTGCCTTGTAGGCCTCTCTATTAAGACATGAACCATCATTTCATCCTGGAGCATCAAGCTTAACCATGCCTTACGCTTTTCGCATGGAATTCTGAAAACGAGAGCTGGATAATGCAATGAGCTTTCTGTATGTTAGCATGTTAGTCGGAATAGGCTAGATTTGCTTCATTGATAATAAACCTACACACACACACATAAAAATCTCAGTGGCTTACCAAAACTCACAGCTTATTTTTCATTCTTGCTACATGATCAGTGTTTCCTTGTCCTTCAGAGAATAATGCTGATCATGCCAACACTGCTTTCAGAAGCACTTCAGCAAGGAAAGGGGGCAACTTGCACATTGCCGGTTAAATCTTCAGCCTGAACATGACCAAGGGTGCATGAGCTCACACAGTATTAGCCAAAACAACTCACAGCCATTCTAAATCCAGACTGGGTGAATGGTATAGCTTTAGCCTGTACTCACCAGAGGAGCAGAGACTTTCCTCAACAGCACTACTGGCATTCACACAAAAGTTTTAGCAACACTGTAATAGCCACTGACCATGGCTAGTACAAACTCTGACATCACTATTTTTTTTCACAATCAATATTTGAAATGGTCTTTGCATATTTAAGAAAATCTATGATAAAGAAAATTTACAAAGTTATAGAAAAAGAGTGTAGTGAACTACTAATTTAGAATTTTTCTTTCTTTCCCCTTATTTTTTAAATTTTTGAATCGGGGGGAACACAAGGTTTTATTTTTCTGTATTAGAACATAGACAAAAGATGAGCCATGTCTCTTTAGTTCATTTCAACAAATATTTGTGAGCAACACTGAGTATAATGGCAACAAAATTGCTCATAGGATATGGTCCCTCCTGCAGAGAATATTGTCATTTGGTGAGGAAACTGTGTTCAAGTAAGAATAACCAAGACTATATGAGCTAAATTTAAAAATGTAAGTATGATCAAAGATCTATTCAAGTGAGCATTTAATTCTCCAGGAGAATTTCTTGCAGTTCTGAGGACTTTATACAGAAGTTTAAAGACTTTGTTCTGGCTATAATATATGTGGAAACTGAAACTGCTTACAAATTTACATAAAACAGAAATAATCAACTTTTTATCTCCAAAAAAAAATTTTTGGAGAGGACTGCTATAAGAGAGTGGTGGAGGGGAAAGAACACCCAAAATGCTATTTCATGGGCAATGGGATCCTTGAATATCAAACAACTGCAGAGTTAGTCAAGCCAATATTTATGCAGGGGGTTTGCAAGTTCACCCTAATAAGATTCTCTGCTTTGGAATTCCTGTGCCAGATCAACACAGGACAAGCTGATGGGACTCCTGGCCTTGACTTGAATGTGGCAGAAGCCTGGGAGCTGGGATACACAGGAAAAGGTGTGACCATCGGAATTATGGATGATGGTAAGTATTTTGAAGCTTCAGATGATTTGATATCATTTGCAACGTAATGCGTCTTTGCATGCCTTCAAAATGTAAAAGATTTACTGGTTCCAGGTACCAACTTAATTACCACAATGGGCTTGATTGCATCTTCTCCTGTCTCTACATCAGTGGTCCTCAAACTTGATGATGACTTTAACAAATATCTTTATAATTAATGAATAAAAAATTGAAGCAGATGAACTAAACGTTGCTTATCACTCAACCATGATTTCTTATTGAATCACATGAATTAATGTCTAAAGAAATTCAATTCAATTTTGTTTACATCATCACATAAAACTCTATTGCAGAGTGTGGGTCTCGGTCCATGAAACAGCTTTGTACTAACAGATTTGTGATTTGGGGATATTTGGCTTTATTGCTGATTTCAAAATGAACCCTTGTAGGACAGTCCTTGAATACTTTATATCTCAGCCACCTTCTATAGAATATTCTATGCTACACACCTGCCAGATGAACATTTAGCTGAGCTCTGTTCTCTATAGCTTAAAATACTGTGTATCTATGGTATGTATTGGTGTTTTTCCAACTGCACATGTCCTTGATTCTGTGTTCTGTGGAGTCACCACTCTGCAGCCACCCGCTGGGGACCGGCCTCTGCTCTTCATCAGGCAGCAGTGCCCCCCGTAAAGAGCTCCAGGATACACTGTCAGTCCAGGTACACACAAGGGTCACACAGGATGGAACACTGGAGCGTTTCCCTTCAGAAGATCCTCAAAGAACACTGTGTTCTCTAAAGCAAGCCTTTGAAGCAGAATTGATGGGGAAAGCAAGAGGAGTCAGCATGCTTCAAATCTGTGTTCTGTTTGTATGGGCTCATTAACTAGCAGCACAAAAACAATGCTCCCGCATCTTCTGATGTGTGAGACGTTTTGAAGTGCAGGTAAAAGCTTTCTCCATTGGGCTTTCAAGAGAATAAAGGTCTCTATACACAAGTGGATGAGGACAGACATCAGCAGTTTATAAATGTCTTTTGTATCTTCATTCTTTGGCTTGGAAATGTGCCCAAAAGGGTTGAAGCTCACTCACTCAGAGGAAAAAAAAAAGCATGCAGGTTTGGGGAAACCTTCCTGGGATGTATCATGATGACCATTTCTATCTACAGTGACCCTACAGTGGCAACACATGCCACTGCCCTTTGGAATCTCCATCAGCACTGCAGAGACCCTTTTCAAGATTTTTTACTTAAACCCCCTAGACTGACTTTTAAGTCATCTTTTCCAAAGACAGAAAGAGAATGACTTCTGACTCTGTTCCATAGCAAGAGGCTGAGGCCTTTAGGAAAATCTAAGTAGATTTTCTTGTCTAACCTTATTTCTTTTGTTAATTTAAGGTGTGGGGTACAAAAAAGTGAATTCTCTCCCTCTCAAGGCTCATAACTTCTCCATTGTTTCGTTCATCTACTGCTGCAAAACAAATCATCCCAAAACTTAACAACTTTCTGAAAGCAGTCCTATCATCCCTCACAATTACCTGAGGGTTGACAGGGGCCCAGACAGTTCTGTTGCAGGTCTCATTAGGGTATCTCATGCAGTTGGGATCAGAAGGCAGCTGAGGCTGGAGTCTGCTGGAGACAACCAAGCAAAATTGGCTTGGTGAATCCGGTGTGATAGCTTAATGGCTGAAGATCTCGCCTTGCATCCACTGGGATTCCATGTGGGCGCTGATTAGTGTATTAGTTCATCAGTTCATTAGTTCATTAGTTCATTAGTTCATCATCCAGTTCCCTGCCTGTGGACTGGAAAAACAGTGGAGGATGACCCAAGCCTTAAAACCCTGCACCTGTGTGGGAGACTGAAAAAAAATCTCCTGGCCTCTGGCTCTGGATTGGCTCAGCTTTGGCCATCGCAACCACTTAGGGAGTAAACCAGAGGATAGAAGATCTTTTTCTCTGTTTCTCCTTCTCTCTGTATATATGCCTTGCCAATAAAAATAAATAAATAAGTCTTTTTTTAAAAAATAAATTGGCTTGGCCTCCCTCTTTCTACATGTGATCTAAGACCTCTCCTCTCTGTATAGTGTTCCCAGAAAGGTAGCCGATTTCTTACAGGTGACTTAGGACTCTCCAGAAATAAGTGGAAGCTCTTCAAGACTAAATTCACAATGGGCAAGCATTGTTCTGTCATTTTGTTGGATGAATAATCAAAGGATCAGGCCCCATCTCCTGGTGCAGAGAGATACAAGGGCTGTGACCATCTTTCTCTCATTATGTACTCATTCAGCATGATAAACTGAATAACATCTACCAAGACTTTCTCCAAATCTATGGTCAAATAGCCTAATGAGCATGCTTGGACAATAGCTGCCTCCCATGTGCCAAGGACAAGATCAGATGCGCACAAGCTCTCTCTTCTTGTTCTTAGCTATCTTCTTCCCAAAAGAAATATGAGTGGTTTGGTGTCATTTCTCACATATTCTCTCACCAAGATATTCCAAAACAAGGTAAAAGATAGCCATAGATGCTGACATTGATACCTAAAGACAAAAATAATGTAGTATTTTGTAAGTATAGTTCCCTGTATTTTGCCCTATAAGGCAAATGCTTAAAAATTTGCAAATGGAAAATTCCCTTAGTGGACTGGCCAGTTCTAATGGCTATCACCCTTCTCTTGTACTACAACTCAATGCTGAGCTACTTCCACTAGATGCAATGACTCATTAGATGCTCAGTATATACCTACTGCCTTCATTTAGGTTCAACATAACTTCTTTCCCATGTGTTATGTATCACTTGGAGAAAACTCCCATGGCTGGAGACTTCTGAGAAACTCCAAGGATATCAATGTCAGCAAGCACCCCACTTGATGGTGACAATTTCATTCATTTTATTGTCATAGAATTGCTTAGTATCAGGACCTTGACCTGATAAATGAGATGTGATCATCATGAGTTACAAGAATGAACAACAGTCACCCAGCTGAGCCACAGTTCAGAGTAGGTGGCTACTATCAAGGTCAAAGATGTTCAATGAAGACCTAAGGCAAGACTTTGATTTTATTTCTTGCCCAGAGCTACGAAAGATTGAAGATCATTGAGACAAGGCCAAGGAGAGCTTCATATTGAAGTAACAATAAAAATAGCAAACATTCATTGAGTATTCACTATGTGCTAGCCGCCATACAATTTTGGAGAATTAAAGAAGCAGAAAACTGCCCATAGTCTCACAACGAATTCTAGTCACCCATCTTCAGTCCCTGAAACCCTCCCTTTAGTCCTAACATGCTGGTGGGACTTGATGAATGCAGCCTCACTCGTAAGAGTGAAGGTTCAGGCTTAAAGAGTGAACAATCATCCAGTTCTTTCCAGCAGATTCTAAACTCTGCATCATACAGAAAAGCAATATGGTGACCCAATAGGATGGTGGTTTCAGTTACCACTGCTGCACAACAAATGAATCTAGTACTTCACAACTTAAAGTAACTCTTTTTTATGGGGGGGGGGGGGCACAGGAATTTGGGTAAGACTGACTAGGTGTTTCTCAGAGTCTTGTGAGCAGTTGAGATGAGGTGTCATCTGGGCTGCAATCTTGCATTGCCTCATTTCCATGGCTGCTGGTTAATGCTGGTTGCCACTGGAGCCCAGCTAAGAATGTCACTGTAGTATGAGGAATGCCGGTATATAATACTGTTCTCTAATTTGGTCACAAGAATGCCTACAAATTCTAGCCTGGCTGTCAGGCCCTGTGAGATCAGGTCATGATGTTTACAATGCACCTGTTTCACTCCATTCCCATTGCTCTAACCAAAAGCCTTAGGCTAGCTAAATTATAAATAATGGAACCTTCTCACAGTAGTAGAAACTAGGAGTTCCCAGATGCTGGCACTGTAGGTCCAATGTCTGCTCATGGGGTCACCTCTCTACTTACAGTATGGTGCCTATTGCTGCAGTCTCAAAGTGGATGAATTCACATGGAGGAAGGGGTAAAAGAAAGATAAACAAGCACGCTCTGGCTCCTTTACAAGGGCATAATGCCATTCGCCTTAATTGTCTCTTAAAAGCCCCAGTTCTTTATATTATCACATTGGGGAATTAAGTTTTGACATGAATTTGGGAGGAAAGCAAACGTCTGCATCATTGCAGTGCCTTTCATGGGGTGCTTATTTTATCCTGGCAGACAGCTGAATGTCTAAGTGTTGAGACTGTGACCAGGTGTCCCTCTGACCAGAAACTAATTTACAACAGCAGATGCTCTAGGGCTCTTCCCTGACCTGTGTTCACCTGATTAGGTTTGGGTGTATTTGTCAAGTGAGATGAGACACAGGAGGAGCCACATGATAAAACACATGGAATAACGGAAGTGGTTTATTACCACCAGATCTCAAAGAGAGCAGAGAAGGGCGGCCCTCAGTGGTAATGAGAAAGAAGGGCTGGGCGGGAAATGCACACTCCACCAGCAGAAAAGGAGTGAAGGAACCAACAACCTGCAGGCAAAGTCTTTATTGGAATCCAGAGCATCCTCTAGGTGTATTTCCTGCAGAGAGTTGTAATTGGTGGGTTTGAAGCATGCAGGCATGAGTTCCATGGAGTCACATTGAGACTGAGAGAGGATCACTGTGGCAGATACACAAATTCCATACCAAGTGTGGGGCCAATCAAGTAGGCTGTCTTTAGCCCTTGCACAGAAAAGAGCTGCTGTGTGGATGTGGCTCTGTAAAGCAGATTTCTGGATTGACCACATCAGGGATGTAGAACAAAGCAGAGAATCAAGACACTGCTAAGGATGATTAAGTTCTACTTCCTGGTATGAGAAGATTAATCCTATAATCAAAATTGATACTGAAGAAACTTAAAATTCTAAGAATTGACTATTCTGCACAAGCTTCTTAGCCAACTTCTAGTTTCCTCCAGTGTGAGCATCCAGAGGGAACAGGTGGAAGATGCCTGGGCTTTTTTGGCTACCCCTGGAAGCAGTGCAATGGAGTTCTACAACCCTCTGAGGGATGCAGTCACAAGCCCAC